TTGTTGAATTATATATTTATATTTCATATCATATCTTGTATGCCATATATTTGTTATATTTTACTAATTCTGTGTTATTGATTATATTTTAATATTATAATGTATTATCTTATGATACTATATCAATAATATCATATTGATATTATATTTTTCTATAATTATATATTTGTTGTTGACTTCTTTGCTATCATGCTATATTTTACTGATATTTATATTTTCTCTGTGCCTAGATATTGTGTTATGATATTATTATTATGGTCTGCTATATTTATGCTAAATCTCAGCTGTCACATCTTACATTACATCTTATGTCGTTATTGTTTTACATTCTCCTCTGCTTATGGATATCATTCTATATTTCTATCCTTAGGTTTAATTCCGATGACAGAATTTGTTTTAAGGGAGTAGAATATAATGATCGTGAATTTTTAATACTAGTTAAAATAATTTTTTAGTATTTTAAAATATTTAATTATTATTTTTAAAAGAGTATTTGTATTTTCTCGATTTTCTAGAATTTTCTATGATTTAAAAGTCAAAATTTTATATTTATTTAAATAACTTTGATATTTATAAAATTAACTTAGTGCAGTAAAAGTTTTTGGAATTAATCCGTTGTGTTATCGATACTATTACATATTATTTTAAATAATATGTTGTATTATTATTACTATTACGTATTATTTCGTATAATACATTATATTATTATTATGTATTATTTTGTACAATTTGTTGTATTACTACTATTATTACATATTATCTGTTGTATTAGTATAATTGGTACATTTTATTGTATAGATAATTTTCCCATAATTATTTGCTTTTAAATGTAAGTAATTATATTTTTTATTAATTATTCTTGTTTAATTATATAATTTATTGTATTATTACTACTATTGTGTGTTATCTGTTGTATTAGTATAATTACTACATTTTATTGTATAGATAATTTTTTTATAATTATTTGATTTTAAATGTAAGTAATTTTATTTTTTAATAATTATTCTCGTTTAATTGTACAATTTGTTGTATTATTACTACTATTGTGTATTATCTGTTGTATTAGTATAAGTAGTACGTTTTATTTTGTAGATAATTTTTTTATAATTATTTGATTTTAAATGTAAGTAATTATATTTTTTATTAATTATTTTCGTTTAAAGACCTAAACCCTAACCCTAACCATTATATATATATCCTCCTCATGTCTACATATCCACTAACCACACCTCTTATCTACTCCTCTTCCTCCGTCTCCCCGTCATGCAACCATTAGGTCCCACCCCTCCCCTCCCCCTGAAGGACTATCAGCCCCACCACACCTCCTCTCCTCTCTTTACAGCCGCCAACACAAAACCTTGTAGCCTCCGCCTGCAACCTTCACTGCTGCCCCTCCTCTTACACCCGCCCTCCTCTCCCTCACAAACCCTAGCAGCCCCTCGACGCCGCCTCAGGGCCGCCGTCAGTCCTCAGATCTGCATCGCCCCTCTTGCCGTCGAACCCGACCCCGATCATACTCTCCCTCTGCACCCGGCTTCAACAGACCCGTCGCTGCCATGTCGCCGATGCCCTCCCTCAGCCTCCTTCTAGCATCTCGCCCCAACCCCTGCAGCTTACCCCGCCGCCACCCCGTCATCAGGCCCTTGGCCTTGTAGGTAAGATCCTAAAATTCTTTGACTCGTCGTTCAATTTTTTGATTTTGCTATAGCGTGTATATTGTTATTATCTGCATGGAATTGTTAATGAATGGTATTAAATATTGCTGTGGTTATATTTTGTGAATTGATGCTATATCTGATGATCGAGTATGTTGAAAATTAGATTATAATTAATTATGAGATGCTTTTGAAAAAGAAATATAAAGAGTATTTTAAGACTTATTTTAAATTATTATTTTAAAGAGGGAATGTCAAAAAGAATATTTTGAAAGTTATTTTAGAGTTATTATTATAATAAGAAAAGAATTTATTTTGGGAAAATGAATATTAAAAAGAATACTTAAAGAATATTTTTAGAATTATTTAAAAGAGTTTACTTGGCAAGAGAATCATATTTTTGATAATTATAATGATTTAAAAGAAGTTTTTATTTTTTAATTAAAGTAATTTATAATCTTGTGTTTCTGGTTGTAGACTGTGATATTTCATGTGTAAAACAATTACGGATTTTAGAGAACTTTTTTTGGCGGTCTTCTTGATGGTGCACGTTAGCGAGCGATTCTTGCTCTGCTAACGTGTGCCCCCGCCGTGATTCTTGATGGTAAAAAAGAAGAGAAGAAGTGGGAGTAAGATCTTCAACATTGGTATATGTTCTTCAAATTCTAATCTCGTAGCTTCTGAGGATCAATCTGATACCAATTTTGTTGAAGATAAAGAAGAATCTGATCTCAATGTTATGGGGTCAACGGGGCCTAAAGGGGAGAAGTTGAGGAAATCTATTGCGGAAATTTTAAGCTCTACAAGCTCCTTTGTAAATACTCTTCCTCGGGATTCTCCTCTGATGGCTGGGGTTCAATCTCGATTGCTCTGTAAGTCTCCGCTCTCTGGAACTCATAGATCTGATAGGGTTTCTTGGGCTGATGTCAATGATTCAAAGGTGTTTCCTCTATCTCAATATTTTTCTGCAAAATCTTCAAGAATCATTGACTCTGATCTCTTAAATCCAATATTGGATTCAGATAAAATTACTATTCCATTGGATATTGTTGAGAAATTTCCTGAGGAAATCTCTTTGATGGCTCTCTAATTCAAAATGAATCAAATGTTGGTAAAAATAATAGAGATAATATGTATTTTCCGCCATTAGAGTCTGCAAAAGTTATGAATAATTCGATCCATGTTAGCAACAATGCCAAGAAAAGCTGGGTTAGTTTTTTTTACTGACAATAGAAAGCTTGGTTGTGGCCTAGATTTGAATTTTGTGCCTCCAAATGAAAAAGATTCAGGGACATTTGAGGAAGATGAATGGTATGAAGGAGCATCAATTTGGGAATCTGCTCTTATTGGTCAAGTCCTGGGAATAAATATTAAGTACAAAGCTATGGAATCTTTTGTTCAAAAAGTTTGGTCTCATTTGGCTTTGCCTGAGATTTGTATTCTTAAACCAGGTTTATTTTTGTACAAATTCAAAAGTAAAGAAGAAATGAGGATTATTCTTGAAAGTGGACCTTGGTTTTTTGGGTCTAGGCCACTTCTTCTTAAACCCTAGTCGATTGATGAAGAGATAGGAAAAAGAAATGACTATATATATCCAATGTGGATTCAGTTACCAGGGCTGAGACTCAATCTGTGGAATGCAAAATGTATTAGCAAAATAACAAGTCTTGTTGACAAACCTATTGCTACTGATAAGCTAACTGCAAGCAGACAGAGGCTAGAATATGCCAGAGTACTTGTTAAAGTTAGTATGCCATCTCCTCTTCCAGATCAAATCTCCATTCAGGGACCAAATGGGAAAAAATTATTCAGAAGGTGAATTATGAACTAAAACCTAGATGGTGTGATTTTTGTAAACAAGTGGGACATGAGACTAGTTTTCGCAGGAGGCATACCAGAATACAAAGGTGGATCCCTAAAAGTAAGGCTGATATCAAAGATAAAAATAGTACTGGGAAAGACTTGAATGACATGAGCCTAATCAATGGAAATGGTACACAAGTTGAGCATGTTATTGCTCAAAGGAATACTCTGGAAAAAGGAAAAGAAGTAATGATGCAAGATTCTACAAATATTGGTTGTAGTAAATTTGTGTTTCACACTAGAAACAATCATGTGCATGTTGTGCATGGAAAAGACCAGGATGAGGATAGTAGCAGTAATATGACCTTTCAGTCTGATTTCCAGCAGTCTGTACATGTTGAGAAGGAGCCTAAATATGTGCAGCAAGCTCATGGTGTGCATGTTCTGGGAAATGGAGTTGATATTCAAAAAATGAGTAGTAAGACTGGGTTACTGCAGGCTGTGCATGTTGAGCATGAAGAATGTGTACAAAAATCTGATACTTGTATTTCTAAACAGACTCTTGGTTCTGGCAATAATGTTGAGAATTCCTGGATTCTTGCTCAAGGGACCAGAATTAAAAAAAATGCATCTCCAACTCTTGTCAGCTGCACACTCTTGGAGAAAAAGGATATTGATCCCTCTACTATTGATAGAGGGGACTATTCAAAATGAATTTGTCTTTTTGGAACATTATGGGATTGAATAAATCCTCCAAACAGCTTTTGGTCAAAAAATATTTGCTACAATATCATCTCTCTTTCATAGCTCTCCTGGAAACTAAAATAAAAGAATCAAAGCTATTAATATCTGCTAAGAGGATAGCAAATGGCTGGAAGTGGTTATCTAATGTCAGAGGTTCTTCAAAAACTAGGATTCTTGCTAAGAGGATAGCAAATGGCTGGAAGTGGTTATCTAATGTCAGAGGTTCTTCAAAAACTAGGATTCTTATTCTGTGGGATCCAAGGATTTTTGATGTTCAGATTGTTAAAATCTCAGATCGGCAAACTATTTGTGCAATAAAATCATTTGATGGAAGACTGGATTGTGTCATTTCATCAGTGTATGGGTTCAATCAAATGGAGGCCAGACAAGAGTTATGGTTAGAATTAAACCAAATTTTGCAAATAATTGGTAATGTTCCTTGGCTTATCTGTGGTGATTTTAATGCAATGATTAGTAATAATGAAAAGCTTGATGGAGCAGTCCTTACTGACTCAGATACTAAAGATTTCAACAATTTCATTGAAGATTGCCACCTTAATCACATGAAAACTCTAGGTTGCTTTTATACCTAGAATAATAAATAAGAGGCAGATACCAGAGTGCGGCGTAGACTTGACAGAGCTTTAGTGAATGATCAATGGATTAATGTTTTTAATTCAAGTCATGCAGAATTTTTGTTACCTTGTTTTTCAGATCGTTCTCTAGCTCTGATTTCTATCTATGAGGATTGTTTGCAAGGAAAAAAGTCCTTTAAATTTTTCAAGATGTGGACCAAACATGCAGATTGTCTCTGAAATCTGGAAATCTGACATTCAAGGATACACAATGTACTCTGTATGCACCAAACTCAAAATGCTAAAGGGAGTTTTGAAGGTGTTAAACAAGAGACACTTTTATAATATTAGTGAGCAGGTGCAAAGAGCAAAGTTTGTTTTGGAAGATACTCAGAAGAAACTTCAAAACAACCCCCTAGACCCTATGCTCATCTGTCAAGAAAAAGAAAATCTTTCTTCTTACAACAAATTGATGGACTGTGAAGTATCATTCTATCAACAAAAAGCTAGAATAGCTTGGAGTGTGCATGGTGACAGGAGCACTAGTTATTTTCATGTTGTTGCTAAAAGGAACAGGCACAATAATAATGTGGTAGTTCTCTATAGCAGTAAAGGGGATAGGATTACTGATTGGGGGGGATTGTAAATGAACTTATTTCCTTTTTTACTAACCTGTTGGGTACTTCTGTTGCTACTTCTCCTCCAGACAGGAACATCATCAAAGCTGGACCTTGCTTGTTAGAGTCTCAAATCAGGGAATTATCAAAACCTAACTCTAAAGAGGAAATTAAAGAGGAAATCTTCTCCATGTCTGATAATAAAGCTCCAGGGCCAGATGAATATAGTGTTTCATTCTTCAAAACTGCATGGCCTGTCATTGGGGAAGAGGTTTTAAAATCTATAGAAGATTTCTTCAAAAATGGAAAGCTTCTAGGCAGTGTAAATTCCACTTCCATTACCTTGGTTCCTGAGGTACAATTCCCAAATACTCCTGCTGATTTCAGGCCAATTGCTTGTTGTAATTGCCTCTATAAGTTTATTTCTAAAATCCTTGCTAATAGAATTAAATCAGTTATGGGCTATCTTGTGGATGAAGCACAAAGTGCTTTTGTCAAAGGCAGGCAGATTTCTAGCAATATTTTCCTTGCACATGAGCTTGTTAAAAGCTATAATAGGAAACATATATCTCTAAGGGTTATGCTCAATATTGATATTAAGAAGGCTTTTGACACTATTAGCTGGAATTTTCTTACTGACATGCTAGAAGGACTGAATTTTCCTGTGGTCATGATAAACTGGATTAAAGCATGCATTTCTTATCCAAAGTACTCAATTTCTCTTAACGGCTCCCTCCATGGGTATTTCAAAGGAAAACGTGGATTGAGACAGGGTGATCCCCTCTCTCCTTATCTCTTTATACTGGGAATGGAGTACCTTTCTAGGAGTTTGAATTCTTTAAAGAATGACAGGCTCTTCAAATTTCACCCAAGGTGTAGCAAGCTTAAGATTACTCACCTTATATTTACAGATGATCTCTTGTTATTTGCTAAATGTGACATTTATTCAGTGCAAAAACTATATCAATGTGTGAAGGAATTTAGTGAAATATCTGGACTGGTTGCAAACCCTGAAAAAAGCTCTATTTTTTATGGGGGATTAGAGGAATCTGTCAAAATCTCTATAGCAAGTCTTTTGGGCTTCACTGAAGGAACTTTGCCAATCAAATATCTGGGAGTTCCCCTCATTTCAAAGTGGTTATCCTTCCTGGATTGCAGCCCTCACTTCTCTAAAATTTCTGGGCAATTTTAGAGCTGGATGAATCATAGAAGTCTCTCTTATGCAGGCAGAATTCAGATTATTAAAAGTGTCATTTTAGGAGTTCAAATCTATTGGACATCAACCTATATTCTCCCTGCCAGTGTCCTCCATAAGATTGATGAGATCTGTAGAAATTTTCTATGGGGAAAAACTAACCAGATTCACAGGAAACCACCATTAGTTTCATGGGTGAATATTTGTCAGGGGAAGAAAAGAGGTGGCTTGGGTATCTTTTCAGCAACTATTTGGAATATTGCTTCTGCTCTAAAATCCATCTGGTACATTCATGTAAACAATGAATCTCTTTGGATCAAATAGGTTTATGAGAATTATCTCAAACAAGGAAATATCTGGCAGATTAATGCAAGAAAGAGTGATTCTTGGATGTGGAAGCAATTGTTAAAAGTGAGAAATAAAGCTCTTGCTTTTCGTGGTGATTCTGATAACTTGAAAATGCTCATTAACTCTTGCTGTAAGAATTCAAAAGTTAAACTCTCAGCTCTATATGAAGCCCTCTCCCCTGTAGGAAACAAGGTGTCATGGTACAAAACATATTGGGAGGATTTAAATGTCCCTAAGCATTCTTTTATTCACTGGTTAGTAGTTCAGAACAAACTGTTAACACAGGATAGACTCATGAAAAGGGGTATTATCACTGTAAATGCCTGCAGCATGTGTGCAGGTGCTTGTTTGGAGTCTAGAGATCACTTATTCTTTGAGTGCATATTTTCATGCAATGTTTGGAACCACATCATGGAATGATTGAAGTTTGGATGGAGACCTTCAGTCTAGCAGCAGCTTCAGAACTGGTTTAATACTCGATTGAGGGGTAAAGGTGCAAAGCAAAAACTCAAAAGACGAGCTCTGAATGTTGCGGTATACAATATTTGGAGGGAGAGAAACTCAAGACTCTTCCAGCAGAAAATTAGAAGAGAAGAACAGCTGGTGAGAGCAATAAAAATTGATATAGCAACTATTATCCTTAATAGTCCCTTACTGAAGAATAGAGATGATTATCTCTTGATATTGTGAGGATTGTGTTTTCTTTGAATATTTTTTCTTATAATCTCAGTTATTAAGACTGAGTATCTTGCTGTGTATATAACTCTTACATTTGGTGAATAAATAAAAATTTTTATTGACCAAAAAAATTACAGATTTTAATTTCCTTTTTGACCATAGTTATATTAGATGTTACTTAGCTGCTGATAATTTTTATGAGTAGTTCTAAAGTTCGAATATCAAGATATTAATGAAACCGGACTACATGCATAGTTTTTTACTATTCATGTTTTGCGATTTATTTTAATGTATTTGACACGCTATAATGTTATTGCATAAAAGTAGTCATATTATTTATTGTTCCTTGTTGGGTTGAGAACCATTAGTAGTTCATGACTTAGTGGCCTCGTACGTCATGAACAGACTTAGTAACACGTGTGAGTGCATTGACTAAATTAGGTGGTGAACCAGAATTCTATTATAGGTCATGTTTGTTGACTTAGAAAGACAAGAGATGTTAGGGTGGGAAAGTCTTAGTTTGCATGATCGGATACGATTGTTGATTATCTTCCAGGCTCACACCAGTGAACCGTTTGGCATTGGGGTTAGTCTGTTGGGCTAGTGAATCGTTTCGCATGTGGCCAATGAAATCGTTTCGTCACCCGAGTTTTGCTTGAGGTCAGACCAGGCTAAAACTGGATTGCAAGTAGTCCTCTTACTGAATTGTTTCGTAGTATTGGATGCACGTAGAGGATCATGAACAGTCAGTTTTTTGAAAATGCGAACCTTGACCTATTTAAGATATGGACCAGTGAGTTTTTAGGATGGCTAGTACTCGACCCTGTTATCATATGCTGTTGGCCTTATGATTATCATGTTTTAGTAGTGAATATGCATGTTGATTTTGTTGGATTTCTAGTTGCACATTCTTTTGTCATTTCTGTTGTTGTATTGTTTTTCGCATTGGGTTTTCGTTCATTCTATTTCTTTTGTGGGGTCTTACTGTTTGCCATGCACGCTGACGTACACCTGTTTTCTCTGATGTACGTCAAACTTAGAGGAAGAATAGGTCCAGCTGGGAGATACACCAGAGCCTGAGTTCTCAGCAGGAGTGCCTTGTAGACAGAGTTAAAGAATAGGCTGAAGCTCAGTTATCTTTTCTTAGTTGATGGTCCTAGTTGCTTTTGCAGTATTTCCTTTCTATTACCGTTGAATGGTATATTTTATATTTCTCCAATATTCAGTTGTTCAGTTTGTATAAGGGCATGTTTATCCAAATATTATGTCTCAGATGGTATTTCTTTTATGATATGGATCATTTTGTTCTAAGTTGTCTATTATATTCTTGTTAACTGTGATTGGAGACCTGTGACTTCGTATTTATTTCTTGATGCTTAGCGTATTAGATTGAGTAGAAAGAGTCTAGTACTTATTTCTCCTTAGTCTAATAAGTCGCGGTCTTGTTCGCGTTATGATTCCCCGGTATTTTGGGAAGCAGGGCGTGGCACCTGGGTACCCAACCTTCAGGTTGTTATTTACCAAAAAGACCTAGGTGCCACGTAAGTCCTAAGCACCTAACCTCAGGGTTGTCAATTTGTCAAAAGACTCAGGTGTCTACGTAAGTTCTGGGTACCCAATCTCCGAGTTGTCATTTTACCAAAAAGACCCAGACATCTATGTAAGTCCTAGGCGCCCAACCTCCGGGTTGTCAATTTGCCAAAAGACCAGGCGTCTACGTAAGTTTAATTCCTGGGTACCCAACCTCTGGATTATCAATTTACAAAAGACCTAGACTCTACGTAAGATCTAGGTACACAACCTCAGGGTTGTCAATTTGCCAAAAGACCCAGGCATCTACGTAAGTCATGGGCACCTAACCTCAGGGTTATTAATTTGCCAAAAGATCCAGACGTTTACACTAAGACCTGGGCACCCACCCTCCAAGTTGACAATTTTCCAAAAGACCCAGGCGTCTACGTAAGTCATTGGCACTTAACCTCTAGGTTGTCAATTTGCAAAAGACCTAGCCGCCACATAAGACCTAGGCACCCAACGTTGGGGTTGTCAAATTGCCAAAAGACCCAGACGTTTATGTAAGTCTTGGGCACCCAACCTTAGGGTTATCAAATTGCCAAAGACCTAGGCTCCACGTAAGACCTAGGCACCCAACCTCTGGGTTGTCATTTGACAAAAAGACCTTGGCGCCCTCATTAAGTCCAAGGCATATACCATAAGACCTTGGTGTCATCATAAGTAGGCACCCAACCTCTGGGTTGTCATTTGACAAAAAGACCTTGGCGCCTTCATTAAGTCCAAGGCATATACCATAAGACCTTGGTGTCATCATAAGTAAACACAAGGGATGGAGTTCAACCATTCGGTTTTCCTCAACAAAGAGACCAAGACATCTCACTAACAAGAGAAAATACAAACGAGCCAGTCGTTCTGACCACTTAACACTCGGATCATCGCAATGCGATTGACTCACAATAATCAGCACTTGTTCTCTCAATCAGAACAAAGCCACAAGCAAATAGAGCAAAAACAAGGAATAAATTGAAGCCAGACTCCAAAATAAGAGCAAAGTCCAAACCTTTATTCCAAGCATTATCACAAGCTTTATTACGTTATCCATGTCAATATTTACAAAAAGGCATGTCGATATTTATAAAAAGAGGTAAAAGAAAACGATAAAAGCCCTCAGATCTCTCGGCTGGGGTCGGGAGTGGGGCTTGGAAGATCCACCTCTAGGGCCGCAGGGGCAGGAACAGCAGAAGAGGAAGCGGGAGGGACTTCTCCCAGGTCGTCACCTGACTCATCATCGTCATTGTCATCCAATGCTAGTTCCAAACCCCCTCCACTCACCTTGATCTCCTTTCGGAGGTTAAGGCAGCAAGAGACTCAGGGAGGGTAAAGGTGGTCAGGTGCGGGGTGAGAGGTAGGAGGAAGTAGCGAGGCTAGGTAGTCGACACTAGCCTTGCAAGCCAAGGCCACCTCAGTTTTACCCAAGGGGCCTTGGTGCCAGTCATTGACCACTTTCACCCTATACTGCTTTGAGTCTAAGCACACAAGCTGATCCCCCAGGTCCTTGACAATTGTCATAGATGCCTGATGAGTCGACCATTCCTTCTCGAGGTCTCACTTCAGTTGCTGGGATGAGAGACTACTTGATTGAGCTTCCTCCTCAGCTGCCACCTTGAGGCACCTCTCAGACTCGACCC